TCATTGCTATATTCGCAACGTTTCACCCAATGAACAATGTTGTGTAATTGAATGAAAAAAATGAAAAACAAAGTCTATGTTAAGGTTTGGTTTGGTTTGGTTTGTGTTAAGGCATATCAACCTCAATGGGTTATATAATGCTGACAAGATTTTTATTGCTGGTAATTTTTCAAAAAATTATTTCTGGTAATAATTTTTTCTTCAAAATTCATTGCTGGTAATAATTTTTTACAAAAATATATTGTTGGTATTAAAACCTATTTTTACGCTTTCATAGCGTTTTGACTTCAGTTTGTTGTTAACTATTTGCCCATAGCTGGGACCCTAAAAGGTGCTACAATCGCGGTCAGGTTGTCCATGGGAACACCAGCAATTAAGAGGTGGTTCCTGATCAAAGGCCTTGTTGTTGGATGTAGTTTATCGTCTTACCCAGGACGTCTATGTTAAACATTTCGTCCTCTAAACGACAGAAGCAATAAAATAAGAAAAGTAAAAGCTTTGCGTAACCGAATGGGGTCGATTGAGCTGTGCGTATAGTCACATCGGAAGCTAGAAATTTAAAATTAAGCGTCCCTACATCTCCAGCGTTTCGCTGCGGGTCATAAACGGCTTTTTTTCGTTTATATGTCTCCACCTACACTTACATATATATATAATTCCACCAATAAGACGATTATTTTTAATTTGATAAAGTAATTTTAGAGGACGAAATGCGTTATTGTGAAAATTTCCCATTTTCTCATTCTATAAATTTCCCTTTTTTTTTTTCTTCTGATGACCAAGATTTTTAAACTGTTACGAAAAAGGCAAAAAAAAAAAAAAAAAAAAATAGAAAAGAAAATACTTTAAAGCTAAAAGCGTACTTCTGTCCAAAATTCCATGGCAGGTAAGAAAGACTAAAACAAGTAAGAGATAATTTATTGCTCAAAAATCCTAAATCGTTGAAGGCGTCGGCTGAACTCTTTCTATAATCGATGGAATTTGCGGTTAGCCAGTGACTGGTGAATTTGCGTGCGGCCGGACATATTGAAAGGAGTGTCCTTAGTGATTGTGGTACTTTGAAAGCCACTCGACAAAACCTCTAATGTTACCGTCGATCTTGCCGCTCGCTCAGAATACACCAATCAATGAAGATTTCCTGTGAAAATATAGGCAGTGATTGTCACTCTTCTTTCTCGTGGGTGTCTGTGCGCGCGACGAGCGTATAAATTGGCGGTATTACAAAATTTAAACTTGACGAATCGAGTTCAAATCCTAGTCGTACTACTTGACCCTATTTTCATATTGATGACTTAAGAGACGGGGAGTATATATCGTTTTTTTTTTTCTCTTCAGTTTGCTGTGTGACACTACAAGACAGAGGCCTTGTTGTTGGATGTAGTTTATTGTCTTACCTAGGATGTCTATGTTAAGTATTTCGTCCTCTAAACGAAAGAAGCAATAAAATAAGAAAAGCTTTGGAAAACCGAATGGGGTCGATTGAGCTGTGCTATAGTCACGCCGGACGCTAGAGATTTAAAAAATTAAAATTTAGCGTCGCTACATCCAACCATTGCTTTGAAATTTGGGTGTCACCGAATTAGACACAAAAATAATACAGGCATTATAACACAAGTAGAATTCAACGACTGTTCCTGACACTAATCCGTCTAATGGAGATTTCCTTTTCGGATACCACCTTCCAAGATCTAGAAATTACTTGCCCACTTCTTCTATGTGTCGTGTCCCTTCAAGACGTAAGCGATAATGGCTCTCCATAATTTCCTGTCCTTTGTAGCTCATAATAAATTTTGTCTTTTTGTTATCTTCCTGTCTTCCATCCATTTACTTAAGCTCTCTAGTTAGATTATGCGTTCTTTTCTTCTTCCCATCTGGTCTTCAATCTGTCTTGTGGATATCAAATTTTCCAAGCACTCTTCCTCATTATGTGCCCTAGAATTTTCCTGATATTAAGGGTAAGTGTCTAGTTTTTTCCATATTATAGAAGTAATCAAGATCATCGGAGATAGCGGAGAATGAATAGTGAATAGTGTTCAAGTTCGTTCGAATCTTTTTTTTACTATTGCTCACATGTACAAGGCCCAAGAGCCACTCAAGGCAGAGGGTTATTCAATGAGAATATTGTAAGGGAGTAGGAAGAGGTGCATATTACCAGGATATGTAGGATAGATAACAGTTGATTCTAGATTTGAAGAGGTCGAGTGAGCATCATCTCGGGAGTTTGTTCCATGAAGTAACGGTTCTAGGAAAGAAGTTGTCCGAATGGAACTAACTCCTTACTAATGGAATGCAAAGTGGATGGGGATGATTGTGAGACTCACATTTTGTTGTACTTTTGTTCAGCATCATCGAAAAAACACAGGATTTAAGGTTCACACTTTATACCTGATGTATAAGACGGCTCCTTATTTTGGGGGATTTTTAAGGTTAAGAAGTCAATTTATACGGCGGCATATATATATATATATATATATATATATATATATATATATATATATATATATATATATATATATATATATTATTATTTAAAGATATGTGTTCATCGCGACACAAAAATTAACATATTTCGGAGTTAAAAACTAAACTTTAAATTAAATTTAAAATTAAAGTTTTTTGTTCCATTCTCAACCGATATATATATATATATATATATATATATATCCCTTGAGAATGGATCAAAACTTTAATTTTAAGTTTAATTTAAAGTTTATATATATATATATATATATATATATATATATATAATTATTTATTTAAAAATATGATTCCAACACGTTACATAAGAATTCTCATGTTTCAAAACAAGAGCCGAAAACTTCAATATAATTATATTTTTAAATAAATAATTATATTTATGCTCTACTTTTGTATCGAGCACTATTTTTTTAAAATAATAACAAAAATAGTAAAGAACTTTGGATTACTTACCTAACGAGTTCTTTCCTATTTTCTATATAGTTTTCACACACACACACACACACACACACACACACACACACACACACACACACACACACACACACACAGATAGAGATCTCTCTCTCTCTCTCTCTATATATATATATATATATATATATATATATGTATGTATGTTTAGCATAGATTTTTATTAATCCGACAGATTTGTATCACTGTAAACGTTATTGTTAGTGGATACTCGTATCTGAGTAAACGCTCCATTTATATATCTATTTTCACCTACAGGCTTGAAAGCCGTAAATTCTTTTTTAATAAAATTTTAAGAATATTCAGGTCGGTAGGTAAAAATAAATAAATATACTATTTAATAAATAAACGGAGCACCACCACAAATACGACTACCTACTAAAAATAACGTTTATGGTGATACACACACACAAACACATTTTTTCTACGAAATATCTCTAACATCCAGACCGATAAAAAAGACAGCATTTACTTAAATTATATATATATATATCTTACTTATTATAAAACGCAGATTGTGTGTGTGTGTGTGTGTGTCTGTACGTTTATATATTGGATCGGATTTCCTACATTTTTCAACCGATTTCAACAAAACTTCACAGGACTAAGTAAAATTACCTTGCGGTGGTTCTGACAGCGCCAAAAATGGGGAAAAACACAATTGTTTTTGCCCGAAATCAATTTGAAAACACAATTCTGTCGCCAGAATGAAAGGAGGATCACTCATATCGTGTTATACTTATTATAAAACCCAGGTTGTTTGTGTGTGTGTGTGTTCGTTTATATATGGGATCGGAGTTTGTCTATATTTCTGAGATGAGGTATTATGTACAGTATTTACATTAGTCGGACTATTGTCCTCATCTTTGTCGCCATATTTGTCACAACGTTTCGGCCGTTGTACGCTCCGGCCTTCTTCAGGTGGTTGGAATTTCGAACTGAACCCTTTATTTCGATCACTGGGGTAGACTGTTCTAATTCCACGTGCCATGTTTGATGGATGTCAGTTATCAGTTATCTCCTGCTAATTTTCCCTCTGAAAGTTCTCCACTGCCTTAACCAGGAATTGAACTCACCTTCTTTGGGTCTGTCACTGGATCTAACCAACGCCTTTATCCACTGTGCCATGAGTCCTGGACACATGGCACAGTGGATAAAGTCACATTTTTCTCATCAAATCATGTGATGAAAGTTATCTCTGTTCTAGATCTTTTTGCATTAATCTGGGTGTTACAATAAAAGAACAGCAATGGAACTGAAGCTGAGGAAATATAGACCCAGAGGAAGTCTTTTCAAAGGGGAATATATATATATATATATATATATATATATATATATATATATATATATATATATATATATATATATATATATATATATATGTATGTGCTGCTACCACCTATTCAGGACAATAGATATAGGGAAGTTCCTGCATGCCTCAGCTTCTTGCAAATGACTTAATTCCGGTCATGTATTTAACTCTCCTGCCACATTGAAGGTATGGTCGTCTTGATGAATTTGTTCCATTGTAAGGTATCAGGGCATTTTGCTTCGAAAAGCATTGCATAAATAATCTCACACTCCTTGAAAACATCGTCATCTCCGTACCTCGTATGTCAACATTTGCCATGAGTCAGAATTGCCTGATTACATTCGTTAATTTAGTTCCACTTCACGTTCTGTGGATATTGCACAGGACTAAAAGAGAATTAGGCTTCAGTATGCAGACGGCCAACTAGACAGGTGGATGACACCAGCGAATGCACTGTAGACAGTTGTGGTCACTGAGGGTCATGTGTTATTGGTAGTTGCAACGTGAATGATTAGAAAGTTGGGAGGACATGGAGTGGTAAGTAATGGAATAAATGGACAAGTGCTATTTAATTCATTTTCATCCTTTTTTTATGACAATCGTTCAGCCTCTCTCTAATCATCGAATTATATGAAAGGACAAGATATATATATATATATATATATATATAGAGAGAGAGAGAGAGAGAGAGAGAGAGAGAGAGAGAGCGGAAGAGAGGAAGATGGGAAGGAGAAAATTATCAAGAAATAGAGAGAGAAGAGAAAGAGACGGAAAGAGACGAAAAGAAAGAAGATAGGAAGAGAGAGAGAGAGAGCGATATATATATATATATAGAGAGAGAGAGAGAGAGGGAGAGAAAGAGAGAGAAATAGAGCGGTAGAGAGGATGATGGGAAGGAGAGAATTAACAAGAAATAGAGAGAGAAGAGAAAGAGATTGAAAGAAAGAAGATAGGAAGAGAAAGAGAAAGATAGAGGAAGAGAGGGTGATAGGAAGGAGAGAATTATCAAGCAATAGAGAGGAAACTGAGAGAGAGGCAAAGAGACTGAAAGAAAGAAGATAGGAAGAGTGAGAGAGAGAGAGAAAGATAGAAGAAGAGAATTATATAGAGAGAAGGGAAAGATAGGGAGAGTGACTGAAGTAAAGTAGATATGAAGAGAGAGAGAGAGAGAGTGAGAGAGACAGAGAGAGTGTATGTGGGAGAGAAAGAGAGATAAAAATGAAGAAAGTGTGTGAATGGTAGTAGGGGCAAAATGATGGTCAATAAAAAAAGAGATCAGTGGAAAGAAAAGAAAAGGAATAAAGAAAAAATGAGGGCAACCACAGAGAAAGAACCCAGAAAAAAAAACGTCCTTGTAGAAAGAGAGATAAGGAGAGAGCGAAACGTGAGAAAGAAGATGAGAAATAGATAGAAGAGGAAGGGAGGGAGAGAAAGAAAGAAAGAAAGAAAGAAAGAAAGAAAGAAAGAAAGAAAGAAAAGATACAGAGAGGGACAGAGAGCGGAGATAGATAGATAGATAGATAGAAACTGATATATATATATATAGATACACCTAGTGAGCCAGACAAACCTACCTAGGTTTCACCTAAAACGGACCGTCAGGGAAAGTTTGGCTGCTCTACGGTTGTATTGAGCTCTTTTGTTAGTTAGTTGTTACTCGTATCGGGGTTTTTCTTTGGGCTTCAGACCTGCATCTGTGCGATTTTTTTGTCGGCAGAAGTTCATGTTTGTAGCTCTTTCTTTTTTTAAAATTTTTTTCCCTCGAGATTGATTTGATTAGCAAATCAAAATTGAGGTTTTTTCGAAACGAGTCTAGTTATCTATATTTATATATATATATATATATATATATATATATATATATATATACAGATAGGTAGATAGATAGATAGAATCTGAGATATATATATATATATATATATATATATATATATATATATATATACAGATAGATAGAAACTGAGATATATATATACATACATACAGATAGATAGATAGAAAGAAACTGATATATATATATATATATATATATATATATGCATACATACAGATAGATAGATAGATAGATAGATAGAAACTGAGATATATATATATATACATACATACAGATAGAGAGAGAGAGAGAGAGGATGAGAGAGAGAGAGAGAGAAAGAAGAAAAAGTAGCAAAGGAGAGAGAGAGGGAATGGGAGGGTGTGAAAATTGGAAGAGAAAGAGAATAGAGAGAAAATAAAGGAAGACACAAACGAATCATTAATAAGAAATAAATCCGAAGTTTTCAGAAAAAAATAAGAGAGGAAGTCAAGAACAATAGAGAGGACTGAAGAAAGAAAAGAAAAGAAAAGAAAAGAAAAGAAAAGAAAAAAGAAAAGAAAAGAAAAGAAAAGAAAATGAATAGGAAATCCGGAAGCTTAAAAAGGTTGAGAGAAAGAAAGGAAAAGAGAAAGACAGAAGTTGAAAAAAGAAACGAAAACGAATCAATGATAGCCGGAAAAAAATATTTATATAAGGAAAAAAGAAATAGAGGAAAAAGAGTAAAGCAAGAAAATCGGCAAAAAAGTGTAAGAGAAAAAATGAGTAAAAACAATGTCGGAAAGGCAAGTATTGAACTTATTTGAGTCAGTCAAGACTGAAGTATCGGTAAGCTACTTAACTTAATTTGACGTTAGAATTTTGGCTGATCAGAAATTGTCTTTCCCAGCATCCCCTTTGTTGGTTTCCCTCGACCCCTGGGCACAGGAAGCGCTTCAATGAACATCAGTAAATGTTGCAGAACAAAAAAGTCAATTAACTTACAGTTTCTTCCCTTCTCTCTTCATCCACCGCCATACTCTCAACGTCAATTAAAGAAAGCTCTGAGTAAGCTATGCTGTAATGGACAGTAACTGACGGAATGGAACGTCGAAAAAAGTGAAATCTTTTCCTTCCTTGCTGGGAAATTATTTACAATTTTATACTACTACTACTACTACTAATAATAATAAGAAGAATGCAAAATAATTAAAAAATAAAGCAAAGACAAATGCAACCGACCAGATACAGAAACAATGGCAAGATAAACCGCTTCATGGCTAATACTCTGCCCGAACCAAACAAGCTGACGTAGATAAAACCCGTATCCATCTGTGGCTACATAGTGCAGGGTTGAAAGCTGAAATTGAAGGTTTTATCCTTATTGCACAGGACCAATACTTGTTAACTAGAAATTATCAAACACATATAAGCCCAAAATGCAGATTCTGTGATAAATATCCAGAAACAATTGACCATCTTGTAACAGGTTGCACGGTATTGGCACCCACTGAGTATAAAGCCCGGCATGACAGATGCGGGCCAATATCTGCACTGGAAAATATGCAACTTCTACGGGAAGGAAACTGAAAGAAATTGGTATGAACACCACCCAAACCCGGTTACGGAGATAGGACCTGTTACAATTCTATGGGACTACACAATACACACTGACAGAACAATCAAAGCCAACCGCCCAGACATTATTATTAGAGACCACAAACAAAAAGTGCCTCCTTATTGATATGTGGCACATGGGAACATCAACAGTCCCTGTTGTAGTTGAAGCACTAGGATTGGTTGGAAAAAAAAATCCAGTAAACTAATTGAAAGGATTCCCGGAAGTCCATGCCTCAAAGAGATACAAAAAAATGTTCTCACAAGTACAGTCCACACTTTACGAAGGGCTTTATCTATATATTATATATGTATTTTTCTTTTTGTCAGTGGAAAATGTCATGATGCCATTTCTAACCTTAGGTCCCTGGGCGGGACCCGGAAAGAAATGTGTAAACGCCAGAAATCAAAGAAAACAAAAAATAATAATTTGTTTTTTGTGTTGTTTTGTTCAATTGCTCCGTGAAAAAATATTATGACGCCATTTATGACCTTAGGTCTCTGGTCGAGACCCGGAAAGAAATGAGTACACACCAGATATCAAAGGAAATAATAATAATAATAATAATAATAATAATCGTTAGAAACAACTGGATTGCTATGCGATATCCATCCTCTTATATGTCAATAATGGGCAATCCTCTCTCTCTCTCCCTTAGATAAAGAGAAAAATGGAGGCAACAGAAATGTGCTTCTACAGAATTCCATGGACGGAGTGAGTAAGCGATGTCCACGGAATAAGCAATGAGGAAGTCTTAAAGAAAATAGCAACAAAAAGAACACGTATTCAGAGTCAGGAAAAGACAGATGAAATAAGTTTTACACATAATGAGGAAGAACGGCTTGGAGAACTTAACCCTCTCGGGACAAAAGAGATAGGGCAAGGCAGCGAGCGACCTACCTGGATGGCGGAATGGGGATGGCGGAAGTAGGAGGCCTAGAGAAGGATGAAAAACTGCTAAGGGCTACAAGGGATAGGAAGTTTTGGAGAGCTATGATAGTTCATGTACTGAAGGGACGCGGCATAAAGAAGAAGAAGAAGAAGAAGGAGGAGGAGGAGGAGGAGGAGAATTAGAAGTGAAGGAGGAGGAGGATGAGAAGAAGAAGCGGATGAGAAGAAGAAGAAAAAGAAGGAGAAGAAGTAGGAGGCGGAAAAGAAGAAGAATCAGAATCAGAAGAAAAATAAGAAGAAGAAGAAGAAGAAGAAGAAGAAGAAGAAGAAGAAGAAGGAGGAGGAGAAGAATTAGAAGTGAAGGAGGAGGAGGACGAGAAGAAGAAGCGGATGAGAAGAAGAAGAAAAAGAAGGAGAAGAAGTAGGAGGCGGAAAAGAAGAAGAATCAGAATCAGAATCAGAAGAAGAAGAAGAAGAAGAAGAAGAAGAAGAAGAAGAAGAAGAAGAAGGAGGAGGAGAAGAATTAGAAGTGAAGGAGGAGGAGGACGAGAAGAAGAAGCGGATGAGAAGAAGAAGAAAAAGAAGGAGAAGAAGTAGGAGGCGGAAAAGAAAAAGAATCAGAAGAAGAAGAAGAAGAAATTATTTTGGGTTTTCAGACTCTCCATTTAATCTGTTTACACATTTTAATGGCACATACATTTTATCTGTGCATACTCATACACATTTTAATGAAAGTTTAAGCGAATATCCACACTTATATGACATCATACAATTAAAAAAATCTTGTTAGCTAACTACCTACTCTAAATGTATCAACAATCATGGACTGTTGATTTGCAGTCTATTGAGGTTTCTGGTTGAAACTTGGAAGCAGCTCTTCAAACAAACAAGAAGACTCAAATAATAATAATAATAATAAAAAGTTCAAAATGGAGTTTCAAATGGGTGAAGAAATAAAAGTAAAGCATAATACACCGACTGCAGCTGCAAAATACTTAAAAAAGAAAGCAAAAGCAAATGCAACCGACCAAAGGAGGGCAAGATAAACCGATTCACGGTCAATACTCTACCCGTACCAAAGAAGCTGATGTAGACAACCTCCGTACCCATTAGTGGTTACATAGTGCAGGGTTAAAAGCTGAAATCGAATGTTTTATCCTTGCTGAGCAGGAGAACCAATGTTTGTTAACTCGAAATTATCAAGCACACATACTAAAATATTGTGTTAGCCCAAAATGCAGATTCTGTGATAAATATCCAGAAACAATTGATCATCTTGTATCAGGTTGCAAGGTATTGGCACTCACTGAATATAAAACATGACATGAAAGAGTGTGCCAATATCTGCACTGGAAAATCTGCAACTTCTACGGAAAGGAAACTGAAAGAAATTGGTATGAACAGCACCCAGATCCGGTTATGGAAATGGGAACTGTAACAATTTTATGGAACTACACAATACACACAGAACAATCAAAGCTAATCGCCCATACATTATTATTATAGACCGCAAACAAATAAAAAATTGCCTCCTTACTGATATGGCAGTCCAGGTAGACTGCAATGTATTTTTGAAGATCTTCAAAAAGCTATCAAAATACAAGGAATTTGAAATCGAAATTTCCAAAATGTGGCACATGAGAACATCAACAATCCCTGTTGTAGTTGGAGCCCTTAGATTGAGAGAAAAAGATTCCAATAGACTCATTGAAGAGATTCCTAGTAGCCCATGCCTTGATGAAATAAAAAAAATTGTTCTCACGAGTACAGCATACATGTTACGAAGGGCTTTATTTATGTAAACAATATGTCCGAGTTTTTTTTTCAATTTTTCAGTGGAAAATATCATAGCGCAATTTCCGACCATAGGTCTCTGATCTGGAACCCAAAAGAAATGAGTACACAGCAGAAATTAAAGAAAATGAAATAATAATAATACTAAAGACAAAGAAAAGATTAAACGAAAGACAAAAAGATCCTACTTGGAAGGCAAAATTAATGTGAGAAATTTAGGAAATAAGAAATTCAAATGTTTCAACACGGAAAAGGAAAAAGATCAAGGAGAAATACAAAATTAAAGCAGTCAATGAAATTCAACCAATCAAGGCACAGAGAACAAGACTACATAAAACGTTTTGTAGGTTCTATCGACAATATGGAAAAGCAAGCAGAAATATAAAATGAAAGCAGTCAATGAAATTCAACCAATCAAGGAAATACTTCAACAGCAACTGCAATTAAAGGCCCAGAGAACAAGACGATATAAAACGTTTTGTAGGTTCTATCGACAACATGGAAAAGCAAGTAGAAATATAAAATTAAAGCAATCAATGAAATTCAACCAAACAAGGAAATACTTCAACAGAAACTGCAATCAAAGTCACAGAGAACAAGACGATATAAAAAGTTTTGTAGGTTCTATCGACAACATGGAAAAGCAAGCAGAAATATAAAATGAAAGCAGTCAATGAAATTCAACCAATCAAGGAAATACTTCAACAGAAACTGCAATCAAAGTCACAGAGAACAAGACGATATAGAAAGTTTTGTAGGTTCTATCGACAGCATGGAAAAGCAAGCAGAAATATAAAATTAAATCAGTCAATGAAATTCTACCAATCAAGGAAATACTTCAACAGAAACTTCAATCAAAGTCACAGAGAACAAGACGATATAAAAAGTTTTGTAGCTTTTATCGACAACATGGAAAAGCAAGCAGAAATATAAAATTAAATCAGTCAATGAAATTCAACCAATTATGGAAATACTTCAACAGAAACTGCAATTAATGGCACAAAGAACAAGATATGAAAAGCTTTGTAGGTTCTCCCCACAAAATAAGATATTCCAAACGGAACTCAAGGAATTTTACTCAGAAATGTGCAAGGTAGTTATAGAAGTACAAAGGCCACCATCTTTTGAAGAAGTGTAATCATGTTGAGAGAATATTTGGATCAACTCAATGGAATATAATTCCTATGTAGAGTGGATCAAACGAGAAGAAGAATGGATGAAGGATAAACCTGTGCAGGAATGGAAAAATATAACGAAGAATAATGTTAGGTAATCTAAGAAAATCCCCAAAATGGAAATGACAAGTTACTCAACTTTTGGCTCTATCTTCCGTTATGAACCCATAAAGCCCTTGCCAGCCATTTGCGTAATATTATAGGCCAGAAAATATTTTTAGATAGAATTTTTTTTGAGATAATAATAGTTCTAGTGATACAAATTTTGCTAATTAACTCATTGCTAGGGGAGAAGAGGTGGATTCATGCCTTTCCCAAGGATACTTGCGCATGAACGAATATAACGAACTCAACTGGAATTTGACCTCTGGTCTTCGATTAACAATTCTGAGACGTTATCCATCACACCACCTTCACATTTAACCTTACATCACATGGTACTCTCAAACGCCCACCCATCTAGGTTCTAACCAGGCTCGACGTTGCTTAACTTCGGCGATCTTACGGGAATTGGTGTTTCAACGTAATGTGTCCGTATGCCTTGAGAATGATTATGCCCGGAAAGTAATGAAGATGACATGAAGCTTAAGATGGCGCATAGCACATTGGTGAACTTTGAACAGCGACAAATTCACAAAGGCGTGAGACTATCTGATTTAGGAATTCAAGGAAGAGTCGAGATTTTCCAGACCACGGCGTTAATCAGGAAACTGAGAAAGATACTGTAAATATTGAAGAGACTTGCTGTCGTTCAATATCCCCAGATGCACCGTGTCATGCTAGACATTTCATCTCATCAGAATCTATCTCACACATTTATAAGTTTATCATCCGTCATTGCTTTGAATGTTGCTGCCACATCTGTTCTGGTGCTCCTGGTATGTACTTAGCGATTCTTGCTAAAATACACAGAAGTATCTGCAATGTTATTAGTCCTGACTTGGCATCTCGTCTTCAGTCCCTTTTCCTTTATATTTGCTTTGAATATTGCTGCCACATCTGGTCTGGTGCCCTTGTTAAGTATTTAGAGATTCTTGATAAAATCAAAAGAAGAATCTATCTTACATATTTATTAGTCTACCATTCATCCTTGCTTTGAATATTGCTGTCACATCTAGTCTGGTGCTCTTGCTATATATTTAGAGTTTTTTGATAAAATCCAATGAAGAATCTATCTTATATATTTATAAGTCTACCATGGGCACTTCGAGGTGGTGTAATGGTTAGCCAGCTTGTCTCGCTAGAACAATTACGACTGAGTAGTGAGTTCGATCCTCACTGAGGGCCCCATACCTTCGGCCTTATGCCACATCTAAACTATGCTTGAAGAATTGCTATTTATAAGTCTACCATTCATCCTTGCTTTGAATATTACTGCCACAGCTGGTCTGGTGCTCTTGCTATATATTTAGAGTTTCTTGATAAAATCCAATGAAGAATCTATCTTACATATTTATAAGTTTACCATTCATACTTGCTTTGAATATTGCTGCCATATCTGGTCTTGTGATTCTGTTGTGCATCTAGAATCAACGTAGCCATTCAACTATTCTCCACGACGTCATCATCATTTATGTGCAATTTCTTTTCAGGGCGTGGTCGATCGTAGCTCTTCACAACTTCCTGTCTCTTGCAGTTCTAAGCAACATTTCAATATTTGCTATCTTTACTTTTCCCTGCATTACAATACATTCATACAAGATCATTAGGTAAGTTGATCACTGTTTCCCTCTGTCCATACCTCCCTCAATACATCCTGTGAGCATTAAATTTCCAAGCCGTCCTACACAGGTATGAAATGAATCTATCTTGAATCTTTATAAGTCTACCAGTTGTCCGTGCATTGAATACTGCCGTCACGTCTGGTCTGGTGCTTCTGCTATGTATTTAGATATTCTTGACAAAACCCAAAGAAGTGTCTTCCAATGTTATCAACCCTGATCTGGCATCTCGGCATCAGTTACTATCCTAGTGCCGTAACATAGCTTCCTTGAGCCTTTTCTATAAATATGTCCATGACAATTATTCTGATGAGCTTTCCTCGTTGGGAACTCGTATTCACGAATTTAAATGCAGGACTACAGTTGCAGTTAGGTCTCATCATTCTACTGTTGAAGTTGCTAGATGTAACTGCCAGTTCTATTCTAATAGTTTTTTTCTCCCGCACATCACATGGATCTTTCCTCGAGTTACTATAAACTTCAAAAATTCGAATGCAATGCCAATTGTTAACTTGAACCTTGTTCGTTTGTTATTCTCGATTCTTAAAAACGTTTATCCAGTTTCTTACATTCTCTTGTGTTTTAGTGGCTTCATCGCCTTGCTTGGGGTGAAATGATGATAAAAAATGACCACCATATATATAAGCTGTGAAGATGAAATGGATGAATTTTAAATTGTTATAATACTGATTATGAATATTTACTCGTGAACTTAAGTGAATTAAAATAGTCTTAAGAGTCGTATCATTAGACAACGTATGGCCCTTAAAACCTTAAGCCTAACTCAGCCAGAAATATTAAATGATGAGAAAAAAGCCGTATTTTCTTTACACTTAACCTATGTTAGTCACATGGGGTGTTTTGTTATCCCAAAACTTTTTCGGTACTCGTAATTCCTAGTTGGCAACTCATTTCTATATGTACCTCCCACTACTCTCCTCACCCAGTGAGGGAGTGTAGCATGTGATGTAGCTCAGCTCTTGTGGGAAGCAGATGTCACTTTGTCTTTTCGTTGTAACCTATCACCACCTAACTAACGACGGTAAGATTTCATTATATATATATATATATATATTAATTTTTACATACGGACAAAACAACTTACTCACTAAAAAGATGCATTCTTCTTTCGATGCGCATGAATCTAGACTGGTGAGAACCAAAAATGGCTAACCATTTTTGGTTCTCACCAGTCGAGATGCACGCCCATCGAAACAAGAATGCATCTTTGTAGTGAGTAAGTTGTTTTGTTCGTATGTAAAAATTATAATAAATATTTATTGCTCTACTCTTGGTATTGAGCCATCTTTTGAATTAATGCTGTGAACGTTAGAATTTATATTATTTCCGTTCCCATTACATTCGGATATATATATATATATATATATATATATATATATATATATATATATATATATATATATATATATATTTCTTTCAGTCGTGTAATTATGAGTTCAGCTAATGTAATATATTTCTATATTGTTGATGAATAAAACTTTTCTCTGTATTATTAATGTCCCTCTATAATTTACAACATACGTTCATTCAAGAAGTTCATAATTTTCCTTTCAATGAATAATTATATATTCATTTCAAGTTTTCATTGAATGTTTATTGTAACGAAGATTGGCTGTTATGTTATTTTTTTCCGTAGTCCGACAATATTTTACATAATTGTAACACTATAAGAATTTTTGTATTTGGGTCTATTTGGGAATTTTTGTATAAGGGTCTATGCATTTTCGGAGATCCGAGGTGACTAACACAGGATTAAGTGCCATACGTGATACACGTCAGTGCGATCATGTTTCTTTCGATACCTCTCTCTCTCTTCCTTCTTCCTTCCCTTCTTCCTTACCTTCTTCCTCTCTCTTGTCCTCTTCTTCACATCCCTTCTGTCTTCTTTTCCCTATGATGGAGTTCGAAAAAAAGCATGGTCCTTGCTGGGACCGAGACACTTCACTTACTCAAAGCCATTTTAAACCATAGTCTGAGAAAGCCATTGTATAAAGCTGACAATGCAAGCTGTCCATATGAAAGTCTTAATTTAACGGGACTATTACTAATAAATCTATATCTTGATATTTACTTATCTACATTCATCTTCTCTGTCATTTCATTGACTATTACTTTCATTGGTGATCTATTAGTTTAACCTAAATCCTAAAATTTACCACATATTACTCTGGTGTCCGTTTCAACTTATGCCTTATTTTTTCCATATATTGTGACCATTTAACTCTGTGTTAGTCTCATGGAGTGTTCTGTTACACCAAAACCATCTTTCTATATTGTGACTATTTTTGATAAATAATACTTTTCTTTATTATTGTATTGGCGTGTTTCATAGACAATTTACAACATATGTTCAGGCAAGAAATTCATTACAATTTTCATTTCAATGAATAATTATATATCGTCACTTCAAGTTTTCATTGAATGCCTATTGTAACGAAGATTGCCTGTTATGTTATTTTTTTTCAGTTGTACGAATTTACATAATTGTAACACTATAAAAATTTTTGTAAACACCCCAGGGGTCTATCCATTTTCAGAAATCCGAGGTGAGCAATGCAGGTTTAAAGTCGGAATGGAAACCTGTGCATTTCTAGAAGTACATTGGCATTTAGAAATTCCACGTTAGATTTTATTGAAAATAAATAAACGAAGCAGGATGTATTTTATTATTTTAGAAAGCCGTATTTCGAATGCCGTACGTATTTTTTTAATCAGTCCACCTCAAGCAAGAAGATAATGCCCCTAAGACGCAAGGGGGCTACTTCGAGTGAAAGAGAATGCAAACCCAATCGTAAAATAGAAACAAGGAATAAATCTCTACTCCTGTACAAAAGACGAGGATAGGAGTGTGAACCAGGCGATAGGCGAACATATCTACTCCTACTGCAGAGAAAAATAATTAGCAAAGAAAATTTTTGCATTAAATATTTATATTTCGTTTTTTTTTTGTAAATAACTGAGCGTTGCAGAATTTACTTTTTAGACAAGAAAACTGATTCTTTCCTGTACATTTCGAATGCAGTACGTTTGCATTGAATTTTCATTCGATATTTTTCGCGAATACATTTCCGCCATGATTCTACTATTACAGATCGCCATCTTCACACATATACATTTGGGGGTGCTGAAAAGGATTCGACCCGACTCACTTCTCATAAACATTTGCATTAAGTTTTCACGTTTAATTTTATTAGAAATAAGTTACCCAAGCAGAATCCGCTTTTATATAACGAAGCCGTTTTTTATGCTGTACATCTCGAATGTGATGCTTTTGCATTGAATTTTCACTCTTGATTTTATTGAGGATAAATAAACCTATCAGAATCTTGTTTGTTATATTAGAAAACTGCTTCTTTGCTGTACATCTCGAATGTGATGCGTTTGCATTGAATTTTTCGCAGATAGCTTTTATCTTTAACTTAAAGATCCTGTTAACCGTCTATGGTTACAGTGGGAACATTTTCAATGGGCTTTTTGTAAACACAGTTAAATATCATCACACATATTAATTTTCTTTCAAATGTAATTTATTATTGGGATTTTCGGTGTAGACAATGCGTTTAATATGAGTGGAATTTGACAACTAATTCGTCTATATATTTAGAGATTTTTGATAAAATAAAATAAGAGTCTTCGATGTTATTGATTCTGACCTGACATCTCGGCTGCAGTTACTTTCTCAACGGCGTAACGTCGTTTCTCTCTTCTTTTTCTATAAATACTTCCATGGTAATTGTTCATATATATATATATCATCGTTGCTCACACGCTCGGTCCATGAT